TAATAAACTGTAAACTTGTTTGCTAATTCTGTAGGCCATCCTAGCAGAGTCACTGGATCCAAACAGAGGCTATGGTAACCTGATTTACAACTGGTTGGTCAGAAGCATTGCTAAAACAACCTGGGACTTGACTTTGGCACCTGAACTCAATGAAACAGGCTGAACCCACCATAACCTGTGGGATCTGGGATCTGCACCCTCTCCAGACAAATGATGTAGAAACAGTTGAGTTCAATGATTTCCCACTAGTGTTAGCTGTGCTTGGTCTTTGTGTGTGCGCAGGTGTGTGTTTGGGTATTCATGTACTTGCAGGGGTATGGAAGTTAGAAGTCAAGGCTGAAGGTCTTCCCCAAACATTTTTCATTTTTTTTAAGTTTTATTATATTTCTTTGTTGGAGCAGACATACCATTGCACAACTATCAAGAACTATCAACAGGAGATGCAACTCAGGCCCTCAGAAAGGATCATCTCAACGCCTCACTATCTTATGTATGTGTTTGGTTGATTTGATTTCCTTTTGGTTTTGAGTCATGGTCTCTCTACATAGCCCTATCTATCCTGGAACTCACAGAGATCCACTGGCCTCTACTTATGGAGTGCCTGAATCAAAAACATGCTTGACCACCCTTGGTACTACCATTTTTTTTTTTTTTGAGAAAGGGCCTCTCAGTGAACCTCGATCTCACCCATTCCATGACTCCCTGTCCCCACCTCCCCAGCACTGAGATTTCAAGTGCACACTGCAGTACCAGTCTTTTATGGGAGTATCACAGATTCAAATGTAGGTCTTCATACTTCCCAGGCAAAGATTTTACTGACTGAAGCATCTTCTCTGCTCCTGCTATAATTGTTAAGGTCACAACAGTGTTCGGTTGATGGAGGTGATTGAAGGTACAGGAAAAACTGAATTTGAATCTTCTTTAATAGAGCCAGAAGTAAATATTCTCTCGGCTGAGTTGTATCTTTAAAAATAATCAGGGCTGCCGGGCGGTGGTGGCGCACGCCTTTAATCCTAACACTTGGGAGGCAGAGGCAGGTGATTTCTGAGTTCCAGGACAGCCTGGTCTACAGAGTGAGTTCCAGGACAGCCAGGGCTACACAGAAAAACCCTGTCTCGAAAAACCAAAAACCAAAAACCAAAAACAAAAACAAAAAATAAAACAAAAAAAAAAAATCAGGGCTGGAGAGACGGCTCAGTGATTAAGAGCAGGTCCTGAGTTTAATTCCCAGCAACCACATGGTAGCCTACAACCACAGCAATGAGATCTGATGCCCTCTTCTGGTGTGTCTGAGGACAGTGACAGTATGCTGACATACATAAAAAAATAAAATTAAAAAAAAAAAATAGCCAGAGGGCTGGAGAGATGGCTCAGTGGTTAAGAGCACTGACTGTTCCTCCAGAGGTCCTGAGTTCAATTCCCAGCAACCACATGGTGGCTCACAACCATCTGTAATGGGATCCGATGCCCTCTTCTGGTGTGTCTGAAGACAGCGACAGTGTACTCATATAAATAATAAATAAATACATCTTTAAAAAAAATTCAGAAACTGTTGGGGAGATGGCTGTGGTTAAGAGCACTGCCTGCTCTTCCAGAGGTTCTGAGTTCAATTCCCAGCAACCACATGGTGACTCATAATCGGCTGTACTGGGATCTGATGCCCTTTTCTGGCATGCAGGTATACATGCAGAAGGAGCACTCATATACATTAAGTAAATAAATAAATATTTTTATTTATTTTTATTTTTTAAAGTTTTCTTTATTTATATGTAAGTACACTGTAGCTGTCTTCGGACACCCCATAAGAGGGCATCAGATCTCATTATGAGATGGCTGTGAGCCACCATGTGGTTGCTGGGATTTGAACTCATGACCTCTAGAAGAGCAGTCAGTGCTCTTAACCGCTAAGCCATCTCACTAGCCCTAAATAAATATTTTTAAAATTAGATGATTTTTTAAATATTGAGTATTGAATCCAGAGGAGTGTATCTGCTACAGAATCCTGGAACTGGGAAGATATGATTTAATGGTCTTTTAAAATTTTTACTTATTTATTTATTTTTATGTGTTTTGCCTGCAGGTCTATGTCTGTGTGAGGGTGCCAGATCCCCTGGAACTGGAGTTAAAAATAGTTATGAGCTCCATGTGGGCACTGGGACTTGAACCTGGGTCCTCTGGAAGAACAGCCAGTGCTCTTAAGCACTGAATCTCTTTCTAGTCCCTTGGTTTCTATTTATTAAGACAGAGTTACAGTGGCTCCAGAGATGGCTCAGTGGTTAAGAGCACCATCTGCTCTTCCAGAGGTTCTGAGTTCAATTCTCAGCAACCACATGGTGGCTCACAGCCATCTATAATGGGATTTGGTGCCCTCTTTTGGTAACTAGGTGTATATGCAGGGAAAATTGTGTGTAGACTCGATAAATGAGTAAATCTTTGAAAAGAAAAAAAAAAAAAGAGTTGCTTCTGTAACTCAGGCTCACCTAGAACTTATTGTGGAGCCCAGCCTGGCCATCAAATCATCCTCCTACCTCATCTTTCTAAGTTTTGGGATCACCATGTCTGCCTTGAGATTGTGGAATTTCTGTTGTTGACATTATTTTTAATGTATTTATTTAACTTAATGGATGCCTTGCCTGATCATATGCACATGCCCATGTGTGGGCCTGAGGCCCAGGTATGGATGTTGGATTCCCCAGGAACTGGAGCTGTATGTGATTTTATACCATGTGGGTCCAGAAAATCAAAACCTTATCCTGCAGAAGAGCACAAACTGTTTTCAGCTGCTGAGCCATTTCACCAGCCCTTTACATTGAAATCAAACCCAGGACTTATCAAAGACTAGGGAGGTGCTATTCCTGGCCCCAACTAAACAGTTTTTGTTTTGTTTGTTTTTGATGAAAATTTATTTATTTGTGTATTTTATGAATATACATCCTTTGTCTCCATTTGTGCCTGCACACCAGAAGAGGGTTATAGACATGTGTGAGCTGACCTGTAGGTGCTGGGAATTGAACTCAAGACCTCTGGAAGAGGTCAAGACCTCTAAACTTCTGAGCCATCTCTCCAGCCTCATAATGCATTGTCCTTCCTTTCCTCCTCCTTTTCCTTCCTCTTCTTTTTCTTTTTTCTCTCCCCCCTCCCCCCAGACAAGGTTTCTCTGTATAGCCCTGGCTGTCCTGGAACTTGCAATGTTGACCAGGCTAGCCTCACACTCAGGGATCTGCCTGCCTCTGCCTCCCAAGTGCTGGGATTAAAGGCCTGTGCCACCATACCTGACTTTAAAAATCTTTTTTATTTTGAGACAGGATTTCGCCAAATCTTTAAGAATTCTCAAATTGGGCTGGAGAGATGGCTCGACAGTTAAGAGCACTGACTGCTCTTCCAGAGGACCACAGTTCAATTCCCAGCACCCACAAGACAGCTCACAACCATCTATACCTCCAAGATCTGACACCCTTACACAGACAGACAGACATGCAGGTAAAATACCAACGTACATAAAAGAAAAATAAATTATTTTTTTTTAAAAATTAAAAAATACAAAAGGAAACAAGGGCTGGGGATGTAGCTCAGTTGTTAGATAGTATGCCCTCCTAGCAGGCATGAGCCTATCCCTAAGGCCTCCATGAAGTGGGCATGGTGGGAGTGAATACCTGCTATCTCGGCACTCCAGCAGAGCATCAGAAGTTCAAGGTTGTTCTTGGCTACACAGGGAGTTGGAGGCCAGTCTGGGCTAGAGACTGTCTCAAAACAACAAGACAAAAGAGGACTGAGGTGGTGGCACACACTTTGAATCCCACACTCTCAAGGAGTAGTAAATCTGAGTTCTAGGCCAGTCTGATGGTCTACACAGTGAGTTTCAGACCAGCCAGAGCTACATAGTGTAGACCCTGTCTTAAAAGAAGATAGGAAGAGGGCGCTGGAGAGATGGCTCAGTGGTTAAGAGCACTGACTGCTCTTCCAGAGGTCCTGAGTTTAATTGCCATCAACCACATGGTGGTTCACAACCATTTGTAATGGGATCTGATGCCCTCTTCTGGTGTGTCTGAAGAAAGCAAGAGTACTCATACATAAAACAAACAAATCTCTTACAAAGAAAAAAAAAAGAAAGAAAGAAAAGAAAAAAGAAGGAAAATATCCTGTTTAATGTTTCCAGTGTTTTAAAGATTTTGGTTTCGCCGGGCAGTGTTGGCGCACGCCTTTAATCCCAGCACTTGGGAGGCAGAGGCAGGTGGATTTCTGAGTTCCAGGACAGCCAGGGCTACACAGAGAAACCCTGTCTCGAAAAACCAAAAGAAAAAAAAAAAGATTTTTGTTTCGTTTAATTTTACTTTATTGTAGTCTATGTCAAATTAGTAATAAGGAGATTAAAAAGAATTTTTTTTTTAATGAAACAGGTCTCACTTTTCCTGGTGGGCCCCAACCTGAGCTCAAGATTTTCATACCCCCGTCAGCTCCCCAGTACCGTGCCATCACACCTACCTAGCAGAGTTTGATTAGTTAAGGGGAGGCACTTGCTCCTTCTCAGTGTCCCTTGAAATGCTGACAGAAACTCGAGGTTTGTGGCCTTTAGTGCATCAGTCCTAAAATATCTTTGGGTTCCAAAGATGACTGACAAGCTTGATATACCATTGTCTATACCCTCTTGTTCTTCTTTCTATATAGCAGACTACAGGTAAGACTAGGGTGCCTAGAGTCCTTGGGGCCCACCAATACTCCTGCCTCTTTGGCTATCCCGGCCTATTGCATGAGATACCAACTACCTTTGACTGCTAGAAGCATGAGCACATCCACTTCCATGTTCTCTCTCTCTCTCTCTCTCTCTCTCTCTCTCTCTCTCCCTCTCTCTCTTCTCTCTCTCTCTCTCTCCCCTCTCCCCTAGCTCCTCCTCCTCTCCTTACTCCTCCTCTTCTTCTCACTCCACCCACCTTAGCTCCTCTTACACCAGCCCTCATCAGAGCAATATTCAAACAGAAGGTTTTCAAAATGGCTGCGCAGCATATCATCTGCCCATTAGGGCAAAGTATTTTATTTGTGGTTCCTAACAAGGCTTCTCTCCCCTTACTTCCACTCTCCCTATATTTCAGAAATCTGCACCCTGGGAAGCCTCTGGGTGTGTGTCTGTCTGGGGCAGTGCCTGTGGATATGGTCTTAGGAAAGCTTGATATGGTGATCCCAAAGAAGCAGGAGAGAGAGGGGATAAGTCAGCATCTTGCCAATTCTCTCATTGCCTCTCCTTCGAATCGAAAGGAGAGCCAGCCTTCTGCTTCGGTCAGGTCTTTAGCCCCTAGAGACTTGTACAAGTTCACAGCCTTCTTGTTCCAATCCAGAACTGCCAGACGGAGCTGGGAGCACCCCTTATGGAGGGCAACCTGTAGGAGAAGACATATACTTACTGCCCAGGGCTCAGAAGAGAATGGCTGGGCAGTGGTGGTGGCTCACACTTTTAATTCCTGCAGAGGCAGGCAGACCTCTGAGTTCGAGACCAGTTTGGTCTACAGAGCAAGTTCCAGGACAATCAGGACTACACAGAGAAACCCTGTCTTGAACAACAAACAACAAAAAGAAGATGAGTCTTTCTCATCCCTTATACAACCTTGACACTCACATTTGTCTGTTTGTTTGTTTGTTTGTTTGGCTGACTGGCTGGCTTTTGTGTGGGGTGGTGACTAGTTTATAAACCCCACCCCTTTACTCACCTCAGCCACCTTTTGGATTATTTTGGTACCAATCCCGTGACCTATAGTGGAGAAAGGGACAGGAGGGACTGTTATTTGAGTTGAAAGGGTATCAAAGGAAACCATAGGCTGAGATTGAGGGGAGGGAATGGGTCTGAGGACTATTCCGTGGGTCTGTGGGCACTCTGTCCACCCTTAGCCCTAGCCAGTACCCCGATATTGCGGCATCACATAGATGTCTTCCAGATAAATGTTTCGTCCTGTCCATGTGCTGTAGATGAAGTAGTAGACCCCATAGCCCACGACAAGGGACTCTGAAAATGAGAGAGAAGGGTAAGGCTTCTGAGAGAAAAGACATGGAGGATGCCCAGAAGCTTCCTTACCTTGTGGCTCCCCAGGTGCTGGAATAATCTCTGCCACCAAACAGTGAAATAAAGGGTTTTCTCCAAAGCCATCTGCTCTCAGAGCTGTAGAGATTGGAGGTATGAGAGAAAAGGCGGGGTGTGGGGGGAAGGATGGCGAACTGGATTAAAGCCCAGTCCAGTAGTTACAATCCTAGGAATCCAGTCTTCTACCCCCTCAACCTCCACACCCCTGTCTCAATCAGGACCCAGGTGCACAGCCCCACCCACCTTCTTCATTGATCTTCACCTGATGGGTCAGTTTCTCGAACTCTGCCAGTTCCTACAACGGGGGTATCAAGACAACATTAAGGAAGGAAAGCCCTGATGCTCTGAGAACAGGGTCCAAAGGTACACCTTCATTTCTGACTCCCCTAACCCCTGCGAAGCTCCTCCCAGCGCCCCTGGCACTGATTTCCAACCCGCAGTCTTCACCCGGATCATCCTCATAATGTCTCCACAATCGCTCTCCCTGGCCTCTCGGATTCTCGTGGAAGCCATCCCGAGCCTCACTGTCAAAAATCAAAGATCAAGGACAACTCCCGCGTCAGCAGAACCGCGAAAGGGCCTGCAGCTCAGGTCTCAAAGGGCTGGGAGCGAGAAGCAGAAGAAATGCTAGAAGCTCCCAGACAGGATTCTGGCAGCAACCAGTCTCAGCCCGGAGGATTAGCCGGCCTGGTGGTCTCTTCTACCAGAAAAGGCCTTAAATTGTGCGCCCTCCAGGCCTCCCTCCAGCCAATCAGCTTGCAGGCCATTCCCCACCCCCGGATCCCGCCTTGCCCCCGCAGGTCCAGTGACTGGGCTCCGCGCCCGGACTACTTAAGCTTCCTGTTCCAGCATGTGTCCTACGTACCCCAGGCTCGAGAGTCCTCTCTTACGCTGCTTTAGTTAATGTATGCTCCAGTTGGCTGCTTTAGTTTTTACTCTTAGCTAACCATTGGGGCATCCCAGACCCTAAGGGAACCCATGACCCACAGCCTTTCCTGTAACTGTCTTTGGTAGTGGACACCTTGTGTGCTGCCTCTGGCAGCTCTCCCTCCCTCCCTCCTTCTTTGATTCTGGGCATTGAATCCAGTATCTCTGGTTTTTGGTTTTTTTTTTTTTTTTTCGAGACAGGGTTTCTCTGTATAGCCCGGGCTGTCCTGGAACTCACTCTGTAGACCAGGCTGGTCTCGAAGTCAGAAATCCGCCTGCCTCTGCCTCCCGAGTGCTGGGATTAAAGGCGTGCGCCACCACCGCCCGGCGAATCCAGTATCTCTGAACACGCTGGGAAAGCCCTACACTCACACTCTGCTTCCTGTAGCAGTTTTGTGGCTCATACTGTTGTCCTCAAAGGAACAGTCGTGTTTTAACGTTTCCACGTTAGGTCCTGTAATGAATCCTTGTAATTAACAGCAACAGCAGGTCCCTCATTCTTTTTTTTTCCTCCTTTATTTCTGATAGGGTCTTCAGGGAGTGGAAAATTTTCCTGGCTAGGCTCGGCTCAAATTTGCTGTGTAGCCAAGGGTGACCTAGAACTCCTGATTTTCCTGCCTCTACCTCACAAGTGCTGGGATTATATATGTCACCGTATCTGACATAGCCTCAAACCTTTGATGTTCTGGGCTCATTACCCCTTTTTCTCCAGTAGCAACTGGGACTACAGTCTTGTGCCACCACATCTGCCTCTTTTTTTGTTTTTTTTTTTTGTTTGTTTGTTTGTTTTTCGAGACAGGGTTTCTCTGTGTAGTCCTGGCTGTCCTGGAACTCACTTTGTAGACCAGGCTGGCCTCGAACTCAGAAATCCGCCTGCCTCTGCCTCCCAAGTGCTGGGATTAAAGGCGTGCGCCACCACTGCCCGGCTGCCTCTTTTTTTTTAAATTTTAATTTAATTTAATTTATTTATTTATTTGAGAGAGGGCTATGTAGTCTTGGTTGGCCTAGAAATGGCTGTATAGAACTGGCTGGTCTCTATCACACAGAGCTCCACCTGCCTTTGCCTCGCAAGTGCTGAGAGTAAAGGAGACTAAATGTGAATTTGGTTCTTAGCACCCAGATCAAGAAGAGGCTCGCAAACAAAACACCTGTAAATCCAGCTCCAGAGGATCCAGCCTCTCTTCTGGCCTCCTCTGGCAACTGCAGCCTCATCCCATAGATATATATACACATAATTTAAAATTCATTATCGCTGGCCTGGAACTCCCAATGTAGACCAGGCAGACTCACAGAGATCCACCTGCCTCTGCCCTCCCAAGTGATGGGATTAAACCAGTGTACAACTATGCTCAGCTAGAAATATTTGTTGCTTTTTTTCATTATTTTAGTGCGTGCACACACACCCACCTGTGTGTCTGTGTCTGCTCATGTATGTATGTATATGTGTGCGTATGCATGTGTGTAATGTGCCAGTGTACACATGTGCACATGTGTGTATGTGGTGGTCAGAAACAATTCTCAAGGGGGGATGGAGAGATGGATCAGCGGTTAAGAGCACTGACTGCTCTTCCAAGAAGTCCTGAGTTCAATTCCCAGCAACCACATGATGGCTCACAACTATCTGTAGTGGGAATCTGATGCCCCCTTCTGGTGTGTCTGAGGAAAGCAACAGTGTACTCATATACATTAAATAAATAAATAAATCTTAGAGAAGAAAAAAAAAAACAGTTCTCAGGAGACATTTTCCTCCATCTGTCGTGTGGATCCTGTGGAATGGACTCAGGTCATCAGGCTTGGTAGCAGGTGCTTTTACCCACTGGGTCATCTACATTTCCACCATCTTTTAGAATAGTCTTTCTGTGTGGTCCAGACTAGCCTTGAACTCATGATTTTACTGCCTCAATCTTCTCAGTGCTTGGGTTGTAGGCAGATTTCTTTTTAGTATCCATTAAACACACAGAGAAACAATAGTGTCTTGTGAGAGCAACCTCACAGGTCTGGGAGGACTACGGGAGGCATTCACTTTGGATCCCGGGCATTCTGCCTACATTGTTTCAACCTCACTCCCAGCAGCTCCACAGAAGAAGGATTATGTTCCTCATTTACCCGACAAGGTCACTGAAGCACAAAGGTGAAGCATGTCTCCCTAGGTCAGTCAGCAAGATATCTGGATTCCACACCTCAGTGTTAGCCTTGACAGGATGCTAGTTAAGCAGGGAGGACTGTTTCCAGATCTCAAGTGAACCTAGGCAGCCTCCCCTCGTGGGAGGAGGGCTTGGAGGAGCCACACCAGATAATAGTGGAGGAGGAGAAGAGACGTTCTCTATAGATCTCTTGGCTGCAGGGGATAGTAGTGGAGGGACTCTGTCCCTCACCTCATTTGCCTTCAGAGGGGCCGCACAGGCAGGGTCAGTGTCCCTATCTCCTGCCCCCCTTCTTCCCCCGGATCAACCTTTAACCCTCCACCACCCATGTGCGAGGCTACCTACCCCCACTGGTTCTCCTCAGATAGTCTGAGCCACTGGGTGGACGGCTGCTAACTATGGAGAAGAGAGACTCTGGGGCCTCCTTGCATTGGCGACTGCTTCTGCTATTGTTACTACTGACGACGCCTACCCACCAGGGACGGGCCCTGAGACACATTGATCCTACCCAGGTGCAAAAACGGGATAGGATTCTCAGCGTCTCTGTATTTAAATGAGCTTTATTTTAGCTCTGTCTTTCCCCTTTCTCTCCTCCTCTGACTCTGTAACTAACTGTACCTTTCTGTCTCTGAAATGTCTTTGGTCAGCTTTTTTCTTTTTCCTGACAGAGTGCTCAGGACCCTCCTGCTAAGTACCTCAGCAATGGCCTAGGACAAGAGCCTGTCGCTGTTATGACCATTGACCTCACCAAAATCAGCAAGTATGGGAGCCACTTGGCCTCTTCACCCAGTCCTCTGACCTCCCGTCCTCATCTGCTCTCTCCCTTCCCCTAACTGTCTTTCCCCCCCGAGTTCTTCTTCCCCCAACCCTGAAGCCCCACATATCCCATATACAGTCTTCCTTTCTGTGTCCCCCCAGACCCTATTCCTCCTTTGAGTTTCGAACCTGGGATCCAGAGGGAGTGATTTTTTATGGGGATACCAACACTGAAGATGATTGGTTCATGCTGGGACTTCGAGATGGCCAGCTTGAAATCCAGCTGCACAATCTCTGGGCTCGGCTTACAGTAGGCTTTGGTCCTCGGCTGAATGACGGGAGATGGCACCCGGTAAGAGAACTCTGCCACCGTGGGTAGGGGTCACCTTCATGTGATCTGAGGAAGAACAGGAGCATCCCTTCAACATGATCCTCTGTCTCACTGACACACAATCTCTGTGAAGTAGTTATTCTTCCTGTTTCATTAGATGGGAATCCCAAGGCTGAGTCAGTACGGAGGCAACACGTCTGAGTGAGCCAAGCATGTGTCTTAAGAGCATCTTCTTTCAGCTGTACAGCTGCCCCTGAGACGGCTCAGGACCCTCTCATTCTGCTTCTGACCACCTCCTGCAGGTGGAGCTGAAGATGGCCGGGGATTCCCTGCTGCTGTGGGTGGATAGAAAGGAGCTGCTATGCCTGAGACAAATCTCTGCATCCCTGGCTGACCACGCCCAGACCAGCATGAGGATTGCACTAGGGGGGCTCCTCCTCCCCACTTCCAAACTTCGGTTACCGGTAACTGTATCCCAGGGCTAAGCTATGGAAATCTAAATTCAGGTTTTAGGGAGAAGTAGGTTGAGCAAAAGCTACATAGGGAAGAACTAAATACTTTTGTTTCTAAGGAAATTTGCTACAGTTTGGGGTTCAGATGCCCTAATGCCACCAGCCAATAATTTCCCTCCCTTCCACTCCCACTCACTTCAGCTCGATCCTGCCCTGGACGGCTGCATACGTCGAGATATCTGGCTGGGCCACCAGGCCCAGGTCTCAACTTCTGCCCATACTAGCCTTGGAAACTGTGATGTGGACCTGCAACCTGGACTGTTCTTCCCTCCAGGGACCCATGCAGAATTCAGTCTCCAAGGTAGACTTTGAATCTCTTTCTCCTCCATGGCCAGCTCTGCCTCCTGCTGTCTGTCTCTAACAGCATGCTCATCTCTCCATAAAACCCAAGTTGTAAGGCCTGAGGAGGATTGTCTCTCCCCCTAGACATTCCCCAGCCTCATGCAGACCCCTGGACCTTTTCTCTGGAGCTAGGATTTAAGCTGGTGGATGGTTCAGGACGACTCCTTGCTCTTGGGACAGGAACAAATTCTTCTTGGCTTACCCTTCACCTCCGAGACCAAGTAAAGGGATAGGGCGGGATTCTGGGTATATGTAGTGGATTATGGGGAAATGAGGCAAGGGAGGCTTTTAATCATAGGCTTCAGGAGGCATTCTGATCAGTGTGGACGGCCTAGGACATATCTTGTAGTTGTCCACAAAATGCAAACAGCTTTTTACCTAGAATGCATGTTTATTTGGGGCTGGAGATTGTTTCATAGAAGGTCAAACCAGGAAGCTGCATGGGAGTATAGATCAGAGGCCGAATTAAAGTAGCTAGAGGGACTACAAGGTTTAGCTGTGGCTCATTCTTTCTGGTCTTAATGCCTGTCTCTGCCCCCACCCACTGCAGAACTTGGTTCTGTCTTCTGAAGCAGAACCTAAACTAGTTTTACCCTTGGACGTGGGACTCTCTCTTCAGCTGAAGCTGGATCTATTCAAAGTGGCCTTGAGCCAAGGACCAAAGATGGAAGTCCTTTCTATGTCTCTTTTGAGACTTCCCTCCCTCTGGAGACTCTGGTCCCACCCTC